CGGGTGATGAGGAAGGCCCTGAGGTTGCCCCTTAAAGCCCCACTAGTCAGCAAATTTCCAGTCAAAAATAAACTAGATAACTTTCAGGATTCTAGATGTGGGGGAAGTGAGAGTGGAACTGGGAAATGATGTAACTCTCCCCATAGAAGCAGATAAAAAACTTTTTTTGGTGGAGAGGAGGGTGGTAAGATCACAGGAAGAAAGAAAAATATTAGTCATAGTATTGCTATGCGAGTATTTCTGTTGTAACATGCTTGAGTTGATCTTTGTTTTTAGAGGAAAAAGCCTCCTGAAGAAGCAGCTAGGACCTAGGAGCTCCATGGTTTGTGCTCATTGAGGTGTCTTGTTTTGTTTTTGTGGTATCTTCAAAAGACAGAGTCTAAGAAATAACTATTTTTTTTGAATAAGTGACTTCTGAGTGAAAAATTTTAAATATTTAATTGAAATAGCCTCAAGATGACATAACTATTAGTAAATAGCTAACCTCTCTATCTCAGACATTGTTTTGTGGAAAGGAGATGAACTTGCCAGATAACAGACCAACTGAAACAAAATTGGGAGGATGGCAGTGTGCCAAAAAAAAAAGTTATCAAAAAATTTACTAATTCTAGGAGCCTTTGAGAAGGGATTTTTTTTTTCCAGTTTGTGTTCACTTTAGGATTTTTTTTTTTCCAGTTTGTGTTCACTTTAGAATCTTGGCTTTGACCACAACTTCTGTAGCTCCTGAATCAAGTTCCCTTTTGCTGAAAGTTAACAAAATATAAAGAAGGGCTGTAGGCTGGGAAAGAATTCTGTAGAAAGTTGTTAAGGCCCTGGGCTGAGAGCTTGGCAGAGAACAGTGTATCAGTCAGGTTCCACTCAGGAAAACAGAAACCACTCTGTTTGGACACAGGGAACCTAATGCAGGGGATTTGTGGCACACTCAGAGATCAGCATCAGAGAAGGCCACTGCCAGATGTTATCAGATACAGCTTTGAAAATAACAATGTTCAAAGAAAATAAAGAAAAATTTGAGAATTTGGCATACAAAAAAAAGGAAGCAAATGGAAAGTCTATAACTGAAAAATAGAATATATATTTAATGGCAGATTATACAGCTAAAGAGAGACTTAGTGAACTGGAAGATAAGTCATATCCAAAAGGAAGCCTGGCTAGGGAGTAGAAGACAAAGGGATGGAAATGAGAGGTTAACAGGCATAGGAGATGCAGTGAGACAGAGTAACATAACTTTACGTGGAGTCCCAGAAGGAAATGAGAAAGAGAATGGTATAGAGCTAGTATCTGAGCACACAATGGCTGAGAATTTACCAAAACTGAATAAAGTTACAAATCCACAAATTTAAAAACCCAAAGAATCCCAAGTAGGATTACTATATATATATATATATATATAAAATCCACACCTAAACATACCAGAGTAAAACTGGAATAAACAAAAGACAGAGAAAAAAATCTTAAAAGAAGCCATTAACAAAAGAATACATTAAACAGATGAACAGCTGACTGCTCACCAGCCACAATGGAAGTCAGAAATTGGTGGGTTAATGCCTCCAATGTGACAAAAGAATATGATGCTCAACCTAGAATTCTATTCCCAGCAAAAATATGTTTTTAAGAATGAAGGTGGAATAAAGCTATTTTTAGGCAAACAAAAATTGGAAGGTTTTACCTCTAACTGGACAGAACGTTCTAAAGGATGTTTTTCAGACAGAAGGAAAATGATCCCACATGGAAAGCTGGAGAGGCAGAGAAGAATGAAGAGTAATGGAAAGTAATTAAAATAATAAATATGTGGATAAATAAACATTTGGTGTAGAAAACAATAATAATGTATTTTAACACATATCTCTATACCTTTATATATATTTATATATATATATATATATATAATTAAAACTCACAAAAGCAGTAGCATATGAGAGGTAATTGAAGTTAAAGTATTCTAAGATTGTTACACTGTCTAGGATGAAGATAAAAGTACTAACATTAGGCTTTGATTAGTCAACACTGAATCTTTTAATTCCTTGGCCATTAAAAGAAGAAAGTGTATAACTTCCAAACCAATAGAGGGAAAAGTTAATAACAGAATAATTGTAATAGAATTCTAACAGAATAATTCCAATCTGAAAGAAGGCAAGAAAAGAGATAACAGAACTTAGATGAGGTTGGGTAAATAGAAAGTAGTGCATAAGATTTAAACCCAAACATATAAGAAATTATACATTAAAGGCCTAATGTTCCTGTTAAGTTATCAGACTAGATTAAAACAATGACAACTATATGCTATTTCCAAGAGTCACATCTAAAACAGGGATACAGAAAAGTTGAAAGTGAAAGGATGGAAAGAGATATGCCAAGTAACAGTGAGCAAAAAGAAGTTGCTGTTATTAATACCAGAAAAAAACAGACTAAGTAAGCAAAGGCATTACTAAAGATAGAGGTTTACTTCTGAAAGTTTCAATTCACCAGGAAGATATAACAATTCTATATTTGTATGCACCTAATAACATGGCATCAAATATATAAAGCAAAATTCATAGAATTATGAGTAGAAATGGATAATTCAACAATTATTAATAGAATAAGCAGATAAAAATTCATTAAGAGCAGAGATGATTTGATCTAATGGCCTTGCCTAGATGACTGCCTCCAGCAACTGCAGAACACATATTCTTTCCAAATGCCCATGGAAACTTCACTAAGGTCAAACACACACTGGGCCATAAGCAAATCTCAACAAATTTCAAAGGATAACAATCACATAGAGTATGTTTTCTGACCACAATGCAATAACAAAAATATAACTAGGAAGTCCCCATATGTTTGGAAATTTAAAAATACACTTCTAAATAACCTATGGGATCTGTTATGATTATTTGTGCTTTTTGTTTTTTCTTGTTTATCACACCAGAAGTTTATCAATTTTAATACTCTTTTCAAAAGTACCAACCTTGACTTTTGATCCTCTCTATTGTGTTGTTTTCTGTTTCATTAATTTTTGCTCTCATCTTCATTAAGTTTGCTTAGAAACAATGTATTGCTTGCTTAGAAGCAAGATACCACTGAGTAAACAGATCCAAAAAATCGTATGTCTCAAATCTCCTGTCAGGTTGTGTCTATGTGTGGGGTGGTCCTTGGGGGATTTTCTTGGCCTTCAGATGGGGCTGCCTTCTACTACCTGAATGTCCAGATGCTGGAGTCCTGGGATGGGGCCACCACACCACCAGACTTAACTTCACACACCCTTATACAAATGCTTCTCATTCCAGACACACTTCTGAGGGCTCAATAACACTAACTTATCCAACCCTCATTACAACCTATGAGGTCACTACTATTATTCTCCCGGTAAGAGACACATGAGGACACACAGCATAAAAACAGAAGGTTTAGTTTCTTGCCTAAAGTCATCAGGGAGTAAGTAAAAGAGTTCTTATTCAAACCTGGGCTTCATGGCAGAGACTGTGCTCTTGGCCATTGCACTCTGTCACCTCTGTACACAGGATTCACACACACTCCTTCCTGAGCATAACTGATACTTGTGGCCTGGGAAGAACTGCCAGATCTAAATGGGAACACTCAGTGGAAAGAAGAATCCTTCTCCATGTCTCCAGGCTGAGGTGGTCTGCTGAGGCTGGGGAAGAGGCATGGAGAGACCTCCCAGCCCAGGGAATCTCCTGGGGGCAGTTGTACCCAATTCCTCAAGGTCCTGATACAGGCAGACTTCAGGTCCCCACTGTCTGTCCTCAGCTAACTGGTCCTCAGGTGACCCTCTCTCATTTTTGAATCCCATGAGGGAAAAGTTCCCTTGCATTGTATGACTGGTACTCAGTACCATTTCACCCCTAGTCTCTGTACATAAACCCAAATGAAATTAGTTTTCAGGCTTTCACTTTCAGACAATTTCCTAATAGAAATGAAAAGTGCACACCTATAGAAGGCTTTTCCATCCTAACTGTTGATTAAGGTTTTCCCTTCCTGCTTTCTTTCCCCTCCCTCCTCTTCCCCTCTTGCTCCTTTGAGTTCCATAAGGACTGAACTCACTCATCTTTCCCATACTCCCCACATCCATAACATGTGAGACTTTTAGTAAGTTATATTTTTCTAGGAATTTTATCATTTCACCTAAAATTTCTAATTTATTGGCATAAAATTATATATCTTATTTTTTAAATATCTGTAGCATTTGTAACATCAAACTTTCGGAAGTCTCTGAGACTTCAACTACAAGGGAATGGGTGCTTTACTCAATCTGTTGCAACAGGGAAAGTTCTCAAAGGAATTTCACTCCAAACATGAGGAATGGGAGGGGTCTTATAGGGGAAATAAACAAAAGCAGCAGTGCTTGCTGCAATTTTGGTGGGCTTTGGTCAGGTAGGTATTACAATCTTACAGAAATGAGTTGTTTCTTGGTGATTTGGCTCATCTTATATTCTGTTCTTGGAATTGTTGACTCAAGTAATTTAGAGGGAATGGGTTATTCTCTCAGTATCAGGACGCAAGGAGGTGAGTGTATGTTCAGAGAAGAAAATTTTAGTTTTCCATATTCCTCTTTTTCTTCTTTGGCGAGGAAGATTAGCCCTCAGCTAGCATCTGTTGCCAATCCTCCTCTTTCTACTGAGGAAGATTGGCCCTGAGCTAACATCCGTGCCCATCTTCCTCTACTTTATATGTGGGACGCCACCACAGCTTGGCTTGATAAGCAGTGCGTAGGTCCACACCCGGGATCCGAACCTGCAAACCCTGGGCCACCGAAGCAGAGTGCGCAAGCTTAACCACTACACCACCACGCTGGCCCCCCACATTCCTCTTTTTTATTCTTGATTTTATTTGTGCTTTCTTGTTTTTTCTTGATCAGTCTTACCAGAGGTTTGACAGTTTTATTAGTCTTTTCCAAAACACCCACACACGTTTGTCTTTGTTGATTCTCTATGTTTGTTTTTCTATTTTATAAATGTCTGCCCTTTATTACTCCCTTATTTTAACTTTTTTGGGATTAGATTGTTCTAACTTTTTGAGATGGTGCCTAGGTGATTAATTACCAGGTTTTCTGGTTTTCTAAAATATCTTTTTAGGCTATAAATTTCTCTCTAAGCAATATCCCACTGGTCTTGGTATGTAGTATTTTCATTATCATTCAGTTCAAAATATTTTATTCTTTGAACCATGATTAAGAAATGTATTTGTCAATATCTGAATATAATGGGAATGTCCTAGGTATCTTTTTATTATTTCTAATTTAATCGCATAGTCAGAGAACATACTCTGTACGATTTCAATTCTTTAAAATTTGTTGAGATTTACTTTATAGTCCAGCATATGGTCAGTTTCTTCCCCTAGCTTTATTGAGATATAGTTGACATGAAACATTGTGTAAGTCAATTTTTGAAAACGTTTCATGTGCTTGAAAAAAATATATATCCTTGACATATTTGTGCAGTGCTCCATGTATATGTCCGTTGGATTGCTTTTTGAGCATATT